CAGCCCTCACAGTGATGTCTTTGGGGCAAAGAATACAAGAGTATTCTTTCCCATTTAGGGAAAAATTTTATTTGCAAGTATCTGCTTTTAAAATATCTGATTTTCTACAGTTAATTTCCTATTGGTGCCTTCAGCACAAAAATTTACAATTATACATACCACTCCATCATAATTAGGATGTTAAGCAGCAGAAAACCAACTCAAACTAGCTTTTGTTATAACAACCATCCAAATGTGGACTGCAGACATAAAACAATCCAAACCTCCAACAATGCATCAAAAACGCAGATCAAATTAGCTAATCCACTTACCCTCAGGATGGCTCTACTCAAGAGCCAAAGATGATAGGTAGCAGTTCCAGAAATCACAACCTGACAGTCTAGTAAGAGTGGAGAACCATCTTCATTCGAGTCTCATCTGAGAAAAGGAAACCTTTTGCTGAAGTTTCCAGCAGACTTCCAATCATGTCCAGAATGACCCCTTCTTTCCTCTCCCCAAATGTCTTGGGAAAGGGTGTAGACACTTGAAAAAAATCCGGGTTAATAGAAGAAGGAAAAGAATGCCATCTGGACCAGCAAGAGCATCTATACAACACTTCACAATTTTTTTAAAAACTTTTTTTAGTTGTAGGTGGACACAATACCTTTATTTTATTTGTTCCTTTTTTTATGTGGTGCCTAATGCATGCTCTACCACTGAGCCACAACCCCAGCCCCACAACTGTGTTTTTGATACACTTCCAAATCACCTTATTCAGTACTCAAGACACTCTGCATCAGTTCCATTTTTAAAATGGGGAGGGGAGATGGGACAGGCTCAAGTTTACAAAGAAAAGTCTTCTCAGTCTTCCAATTTTCAGTATGTCAAATGTAGGGGCAAATCAAGAAGTTTCCCGAAAAAACATTTCTCCAAAACAGTAAACATAAAGATAGCACATGTTGTGGGTTCTGTGTGTTTTCTTCAGGGAAACAAAGCAAAAGTCATTAACATACAAAGATCTTTAAAAATATATCAAAACCAAGTCTAGGAACACCCAAATTCTAGTGCTAATTCTGCTGCTAACAAGATCCTTTACATTCTTTTCCATATTTGTCGGAGTGAGTTCACTTAATGAGAGTCCCTCCAGCTTCATACACACAAAACTAGGCAACCTAAGTTTACTAAAGAACAATTCTATATAACCCTGTGAGGGCTTAATAACAGGACTATTAAAACAATTTTCTTCAGTATATTTTCTCTAGAATGCCTAAAGTAAAACTTATGAGAAAAGCATATATTACCGCTTCTGGCAAACATGTTTGTATAAAATCGTAAGCACCTGAAACTATATAGATGTCACACGAAAGGCTTAACAGAAGTTTAAGTTGCACTGAAAGAAGACACTGGCCGTTTTGGAGAAGGAGTGACAAAAGCAAGAACTAAAAAGCCATTTGAACAAAGGGTCCATTGAATTGAGTGAATGCTCTCCAACTCTACAAATCAGTCAATGGCTCCTCCCACCCGGATGCCAGGTGGGAACTCATCCCACCGGCAAATGTCCAATACTGACTCTAAACCATCCCTTTCCCATTATGTCGGGCTTCTGCTAAAAAACCTTACATTTAGCTCTCCTAGGGATAAAGTCCACATTCCCAACCTTGCTTTAATGGCCCTCCATAATCTGAAACTGACCTTTCCTTTCATCCCATCCTACTCCCTGAAATGCAATCCCCATTCCAAACTCCTCATTCTCCCCAACACTACAGGTGTTCCAGTTTCTTCTCAGCCGTTTCCAATCTGACAAGGTTCTATTCCTTACTTAAAACACCAAGAAGTTCCAAGCCCTTCTCCCCACTAACCTACAATAAACTTGTTCCTGGCAAAGTTAGAATACTTTTCTTGTCACTTGATGGCTAAACATGTATGTCTTCGAAACCTTTGTTTCTTCAAGAATGTAGCATAGTGCAGACAGGAACTCAAAAAATGTTCCTTAGATTGATGTGAATTCAAGGACAGAAACTCAAGAGCAAAGCCTTCTCAGTAGTATTTTGTTATCTAAATTACATTTAACAAATCACAGGTGTTAAGTATTTGCTGACTGCTAAATAATTGAATTCAGCAGTAAGCCTTCAGGTCCTTCAGGTCTTCAGCTTCTTTAAATATTTATGGAAGATTTCAAAGACATTCAAATTACATAAATCCAACTAGCATTGAGCGCACACAGGAGACAATTAAAAGCAAACCACTAGGTGGGTGTGTGGTGCACCCCTGGAATCTAAGGGGCTCAGGAGTATAAGACAAAAGGACAAGACAAGTCCAGAGCCAGCCTCAGCAACTTAGGAAGACCTTATCTCAAAATAAAAAGGACTGGAGATGTAGCTGAGTGGTTAGGCCCCTCTGGGCTCAATTCCTGGTTTAAAACAAAACCAAATCACTAAAACACATTCTGAAAATGCACAAAAATGCCATTTTTTGAAAAAAAATGTAAGATGTGTGAAAATATAAACAATCTGACCTAATTGATTACTATCCTTTTTACAGATCCTCTGCCTCATGTCCTTCCAGGATTCTGGAATCCAATGTTTTAGAAACTAATATCTTCAAATGGGGATATTACTCCATAGTAGAGTATCTGCCCAGAGTTCAATCCCCAGTGTGTGTGTGTGTGTGTGTGTGTGTGTGTGTGTGTATGCGCGTGCACAAATGCCCTCAACTGGTTAACTGACCTAGACTAAAATTTCAAAACAAACCATTTTGAAATGCTGTTAGAACCTCACCAATACCTCCAAGAAAGAGATCCAAATGAAACTGAACATAATTATGTGATTATGTGACCTACCCAACTACCACATACCAAGGCCTCAACAGTGAAGAATTAAATTCAGGTCTCCTGACTTAAATCCAATGCTCTTAAGTCTGTTGGGAACTAGAAATCTGATTGAAACTAGAAGTAAAGCTATATGGAGCAAGTGGGCAGGAAAGTTGAGTCCTATCCAACTAACTAAAGCTAGGTTTTTGTCTTGTCTGTCATGGAAAAGAATTTAAATTAATGAAGAGAACGGGAAAAAAAAGATACTTTCCATTACATTTCTTAAACATAATTACCAAGTATGCTGCTATGGCAAAAGAATCAAAGATACCAATTCACAAATTCAAGAAACCTACATTCTGGGGAGAAGGGTAACAGCTGGCCCCCCAGATGCACTAGCTGCTGCTGGAACAGGAGGCATGCTTCCTGCTGGCAGGATAGCTAACATGCAGTCACAGAAATAGCTTTTAACCAGTGGCCAAACTGGCTTTGCCATCTGCCTCTCTCCACATCTCCAACTCCAGAGGGAGCTGCTATAGCCAGTAAAAGGTACCTCCTCACCAACCCCCAGCTAGTGACACTGATTAACACTGGAGTTTGCTCCATAACCCTCCCTGCTCTTCCTTTTTCTCACCTCCTCCTTTCTATGCCCACCCCTCTATATTTAAAGCCCATCCCACTTCCCACCCATCACACATATGGATGCCAAGGACTGGAGAGCATCCACCAAATGAGCCCACTCATTGCCTGTCCCAAAGCGATTCCCAATCCCAATTTTGCAACACCAAAAATGTCACAGAAGTTGAATGACTTGCTTTCGAAATTACAGGGATGGCTCATTAAATTCTTCCCTCAACTCATTCATTAAAATGAATATTAACTGGGCTAGGCCTGTGTTGGGTATAGAAGACAGAACGTTTTAATTTTTTTAAAATACTTTTAGTTATAGGTGGACACAATATCTTTGTTTATTTTTAAGTGATGCTGAGGATCTAACCCAGGGTGTCTCACACGTACCAGGCAAGCGCTCTATCGCTGGGCCACAACCCCAGCCAATTTTCTTTGGTGGAAATGGTGGTGTCCAGGGATAGCACGTTACTTTTCCCAGAAGTGGTGTCACAAACAAGTGTACAATGGACAAATTCCCAAGATTAGGAATTACTGAACTGAGAAACTAGTTAAGTGATAGACCCTAACACAGACCTTGGAGGCTGGATACTGCCCAGGTCCCTGTCTGCTGTATGGCTTTCCCACTCCACACCCTCCCACCGCCCTGGCAAGCTTTAAAAGAAAAAAAGAAAAAGAAAAGGTGCACTCAAGCCATCCTCAGAAGGGGCTCTGGGCCCCAGGAGTAATCAGACTGCTCTGCTCCTAACTCTTCCCCTTTTTTAGTCGCATCAGCAACCGTTTCGGCACAAATTTCAGCCCAACTCTCTCCAAGAAGTTTATCAGCTACACAAACTACAGCTTTCTATCTTCTTCTGAGTTCTTCCCAAGGGAGGAGATCAGAGGAGGAAGGCTTCAAGTCTTGACCAGAGTGGAATTCTCTTTACAGGCAGTAAACACCCCACCACCCGGGTCAGGGGGCAGGCTGTCCCTCACTTCCCAGCCCCAATCTTTGAACCCTCCTCAGCACAAGCAGAGAGAAGGAAGGAATGTGCAGAAAGCAGCACAAAGCCAGGTGGACTTTCTGGTTTGCCACAATGAGAGAGCTGGGAGGAGACTGTTGGGGAAGATAAAAAGTGACACAAAAGGTACTGCTTAGGGGACTTCTAACGAATTCAACACCCACGAGGTTTCAAAGAATCCCCTCAAAAAAGTTTTTGAAGAGGTCACTAAATAAAAGTAGGAAAACTGACTTGTCTGTCTCGTAGGAGACAGACCCGCTTTAGAGTGCAATAAACCTGACCCAAGGCGCCGAGAGCCTGGGGTCGGTCCCAACGGGAGCGCAGCGCTAAAGGGTGATCAACTTGGGGCCAGGCGGGGCCCGCGGGCAACGCGCTCCCACGCAAGGCTTCTGGCCCCCGCCTCCGCCAAGGGTCCGGAGCGGGAATGGGGACTTGCCGCCGGCTGCCTGGGGAAGAATGGCCTGAATGAATCTCCAATTCCTCCGTCCGCTAGCCCGGGGCACAGGACTGTCCTTCTCCGACCAGGAGAAGCTCCCTCCGGCCTCGCCACGCCGCAGCCCGTCCGCGCCCGGGTCCCCGCTTACTCTTGGTGGCAGCGATGAGGTTCTTCCCGTCCTTGATCAGCTCTTTGATGAACTTGTTGGTCCTCTCAAGTTCTGCTTCGTGGGCACGGATCCTCTCCCGGAACCACGGGCTGTCGAGGTAGCAGTCGCTGAATTCCAAGGGCTGCAGCCCCATGACTGCAAAGGTCCGCGCCCGGGGCGCACAGCCTCCGGCTCGCTCGCCGCGCGCTAGCCCGGCTCCGAGGCGGCGGCCAGGTGCGGGGCCGCGCGGGTAAGAAATTCGAGAGGATCTAGCACTGCCGGGCGCGCAGGGAGCACCGTGCGGACATGTCCCGAGGAACTGAGCCTGGCGGCACCGGGGAGCCGCCGGCTAGGCGAGCGAAAACTGCGGCGCCCCAATCCCGGCAGCCCCGCGAGCCTCAGCGCCCGCCGCCCCGCCCCAGGCCCGCCCCGCGCTCGCCCGCGCCCCCTTTTCCTCCCTCCGCCTCTCTTCTCCCTCCTTTCTCCTTCCTTCCCTTCCCCAGACTCCTCTTCCTTCTCTTCCCCACGCGTAGTTGCCCCTCCTCTTCCTTCCGAGGCGTCCCGGGTCTAGAATTTCGGCCCCGCGGTTCTCCTCCACCCCCGGGAGCCTGCCCCTCCCCTTTTCTTGGGCTCCCGAGTTCGGGGTGACTCACAGTCGGCTCCCCGAAGTAGGGAACCCGACCGGACGTGGAAGGAGCGGGCGTCTTAACAGCAGTGCTTAATCCGCGCAGCCGGACGTGACTCCGAGGCGAGCCGGCTGGAGGAAATGATTGACTGCCTTAAATCATTTATCCAGAGAACGACCCTCGGCCGCGCGCGGGCTTGCACGTGGGGCTCTCATTTTCTTCAACCACGTTCACCCACTTATAGTAAGAAGCTTGTTATAGCTCCACCAGAGAGTTTTCTCCGTAGCCCTGCAGCTCCTAGGACGCTTTTCTGCGTACCCTTACTAAATGGCTTAGGTGGCTTAGGGGAAGCAAGCATGTGGCTAGACCGCAGAAAAGTTGTTTGTTGTGCTCAGCAGATTAAATTTACTTGGCTACGGAGAGAGAATCTTCATTATTTTAAAAATAACCTCTAGAAAACAAATGCCAGGATCTGTGTGCTTTTCACAGGTGGCGGGGTGTGTGTGAATTCATGTCAATGCACCCCCGAAAATCCTGTTCCAGGTGTTTAAAATTGAACTCAGCCGTGCCCCCCCCCGAAAGTTAAGATAGTTTAGATAATTATACCTGGAAGAAAAAACACTAACGGTTAATTAGTGACTTTCATAATAGCAACTAACAATTTATTAAACAAGTATTACGTGCCAGGCACACACACCAGGCACTCTGCATACGTTTTTCACAAACTCACAACACATGTTTGGTATGTAGGTTTACATTATAATGATGGTAATATTACCAAGAAACTTCAAAGTGATTCTTCAAAACATTCGGATTCTGAGCTGGGTGATTAAGAATCTAAACAGTAAGCATAGAGTGTAACCCCTCGGGATCAAATTCAATAGGACTCCTACGCAATAAATTCTTTTGTTACAAAATAACACCGTCAAGTGCCCCAACACACAGGTAAACTTTGTTACTATGTCCCTCCTCCAGAGAGTCCCAAATGTTTTACAAATAACTTTTAGGCTTTGAAAGCTTCAGTTCCTACTAAAATCAGCAGGGGGTGGAGGGAGGTGTTTATGTCAAAAGAGAAGAGAATTAAAGAGGCTTAGGAAAGGAAAGATACTCAAGAACAGAAGCAGGTAAACACAGTCAGGGCCTCCCAGAAGAGCCAGACTCAGTCCTCTGGACAAAAACCTAAACCTTCCCTCCCAAAGCAGGACTGCTGACATCATCAAAATGTTAAACACAGTAGTGAAAGACTAGCAATTGCACTCTTAGGTATATAGCAAGAGAAATGAAAGCACGCATCCACACTCAGCATTCATATGTCAATGTTCATAGGACCATTATTCTTAGTAGCCAAGAAGTAGAGTCAACACAAATATCCATGAACTGTTGAATAGATCAACAAAATGTGTGTATCCATTCAATAGAAAATTAATCCACAAACAAAAGGATTACAATGTTGATGCTGCTAAAATACAATTTACTGTGAACACACTGAGCTAAGAAGAAGCTGCCACAAACCGCTAAGTTCCAAATTAGCCATTTATATGAAAAGTCCAAAACTGGGTACTCTAGGGACACAATTAATTGCCCCGAGGCTGGGGATAGAATGAAGCAAGGGGTTTCTTTTTAGGGGTGATCGAAATATTTTAGAGTTTGGTAATGGTTGCACAGCTGTATAAACATACTGAGAACCATTGAATTGTACACTTTATTTTTAAATATTTTTTAAATTGTAATTGGACAGAATATCTTTATTTATTTATTTTTATATGGTGCTGAGGATCAGACCCGGTGCCTCACACGTGGCACCACTGAGTTATAGCCCCAGCCTCAAATCTTACACTTTAACGAGTGGATTTTGGGGACTGTGAAATATATCTCAATAAAAAGTTTTTTGTTTTAAATTTTTAAAAGATCAGCTACTCCAGACAACTGCCTCTCCTTTCTTGTTATTTTCCACTTTTAGCCATAAAAACTCTAATTTATTTAATGTGGCCAGTTCTTTAGAGATTTGAAGTAAAACAAGTTTCACCATACAAGAAAAGCATTCCTTGTCACTTTCCCCACAAACACATAGCATGTGTACATATGAATCTTAATTCAGTAATAAGCAATCTACTGTGAGCACTGAGGGTGAGGGGGGGCCTATGGAATTTTATTTTATTCAACTATATACCTTACACATTGCCTGATATAGATGATCAGTAAATATAGAATGAATGAGAACTTTGACCCAGTAAAGAGAAAACACTATAAAATAGCTATTTGGGAATGCCAGGTCTCACTTCACTGCTTCATAGTTGTGTGACTGTGGCAAAGGTATATTTTTTGAGGGGTGGGATGTAGTTCAGTGATAGAGCACTTGCCTAGTATGTGCAAGGCCCTGGGTTCAATACCTAGCACTGCAAAATAAAAAACAATTGAGGGGAAAATAAAAACTTCAGACTTATGGTCTATGAAATGGAGATGATGACCTCACAACTGTGAACTGATGAAACTGAGTTTGTAAAGTGCCTTGATGATGATTAAGAGGAAAGTACAGAGGATGGACTGAAGAGAAGGACAAAGGGGAGGAGAAGGAGACAATCATATTCCATCCTTACAGGAAAGATTTGGGGGCAGGGAAGCCCTTGAAGCATAGCACTAAATGTTTTAAGATAGAATTCAAGGAAAGTAGTCACAAGTCAGATGATACTGGGGTCTTAGGTTTATCGTTAGTTCATAAGAAATTTGTTCCACTGGGAGGCACAGGGCACACCCCTGAAATTCCAGCAACTTAGGAGCCTGAGGCAGGAGGATAGAAAGTTCAAAAGCAGCCTAGGAGAAACTTGGTCAGACCCTGTCTCAAAATAAAAATTAAAAGAGTTAGGGATGTAGCTCAGTGTAAAGTACCCTTGGATCCAACCCCAGAAGGAGAAGGACCAGGACAAGAAGATGAAGGAGAAGAGAAACCTGTTTCTCCCACAAATACGTTAATCATCTATATGTGTGAGCTCCCCTGCTAAGTACTAGGGATGCAGCACACACCAAAGAGCGGGTTTTCTCTGTGCTTTTGGTCTCGGGATGGAGACTAATTGAAAAAAAAAATCACACAAACTTATCCAATTTAAAATTAAAATTGGGTTTATGGGCTGGGGATGTGGCTCAAGCGGTAGTGCGCTCCCCTGGCATGCGAGCGGCCTGGGTTCGATCCTCAGCACCACATACAAACAAAGATGTTGTGTCCGCCAAAAACTGAAAAAATAAATATCAAAATCTCTCTCTCTCTCTCTCTCTCTCTCTCTCTCTCTCTCTCTCTCTCTCTCTCACCTCTCAAAAAAAATTGGGTTTAAATTTAAAATTTAATTGGCAGGAATGGGGGTATAGTTCAGTAGTAGAACACTTGCCTGGAATGCTTGAGGGCCTGTGTTCAATCCTCATCATGGAAAGAAAGAAAGGAGGGAGGGAGGAAGGGAGGAAGGGAGAAAGAAAGAAAGAAAGAAAGAAAGAAAGAAAGAAAGAAAGGAAGGAAGGAAGGAGGGAGGGAGGGAGAAAGAAAGGAAGAATTGACTTAAAGTGCCGTGCCATTAAAGTGAAGTCCTTGAGAGATTTTAAATGTAGGAGCTGATAGAGTTTTGGGATGGGGTCAAGGAAGGCCACATGGAAAAAAGTGTCATTTAATCAATGACCAGGAGAATCAGAAGGAGTTAACCATTAAATAGGTAGTGGGAGCCAAGTAATCCAGACAAGGAACTAGCCTGTGCAAACCCCTAGGATGGTGCATTCTAGAACTAAAAGAGAAGGTCAAGTGGCTGAAGCACAGTGAGTAAAGAAGCTGGTTCATGACATTGCTGGGTACAGGAGGGCAGATAGGGGCCAGATCTTGCAGAGCCTCGTGGGACATATTTAGGACTTTGGACGGTGTCCTCATGCCGTTGGAAGCCTTTACAGAGTTTTAAGCATGAAGGTAATGAATTGAGTTTATGTTTTCTCTCTAGCAGCTGTTTGGAGAATGGGAATTCACTCAGAAAAGTATTAGAATTTTCTAGGCAAGAAATAGTATAGCATAACCCTCTATAGTGATGTTGGAGACACAAATAGAAATATGTTTTAGAGGCAGTTTCTGGGCCTTGACAATCACCTGGATATTGCACATTAGGAAGAAAGTGATTGTCCCTACGTTCCTGGAATGGTAGGAAGGGTAGATTGAATATGTCATTTGCTGAAAGGAAAACATTAGCTAAGAAGCTGATGTGGAAGGGGTTATGGTAACTGAGATGGGCAGTTTCAGAGTCAGATTTGTGAAATTAGAGATGTCTGGGAGACATTCAAGTATTCAGAACAGGCACTGACATCCAAACTGGCATTTTTTATGCTTTGGTTGGGGCCTGGATTTGGTGAAGGTGTGAATACACGCAGATGATCAAGTTTCAGTTTAGATGTAATGAGGGTTAACTCAGAGGAAAGCTTCTCTTTGTGTAGGTTCCACTATATGCAGTAGTATCCTTCCCAGATGAGTCACCCAAGTTGCTACCTGTAAAATCAAATAGGAGTTCCACTGAATATTTGGTATGTTTCAGTGAGTCAGAGTTAGCTTCAAACATAACAGAAAATCCAAAATGACAGTGGCTTATGCCATAAGGTCTTTACTTCTACTCTCGTTCTCTCCCTCTCTCCCTCCCCCCATCCTCTCTTGATCACTTTCACTCTCTCTCTTTTTCTCAAAAGAAGTTCAGAAGTCTAGAGTGTAACATGATGCACTGCAGGGCCTAGGGCTTCGTGCTTAATGTCACCTCACAGTACAA